AGCAGCCCCGCCGCGGCCCCCAGCGCCAGCAGCAGGGAGAGCGCGGCCGAGCCGAAGACGTGCAGCTCCCAGGAGAAGGACAGGGTGCGCCGCAGGTCGGCCCACCGCAGCGCCGTCCGGTTGGACCCTGGCAGGCAGGGCCCCGGGGAGCCGGCTGGGCAGGGGGGCTCCGGGGCCAGGCTGGGGGACGGCGGAATGGCGCCTTCCAGCAGGATCTTGTCCGGCTCGAACCCGCGGCCAGCCTTCGGCGCAGGTGTGGAGGCGCCCCCGGCGCCGGGCGCTGCGGGCACAGAGCGACACGGAGAGGCACCGTCAGCCTGCCTGCAGCCAGAGAGGCAGCTGTACAGCAGAGTTCAGGGGTGCAACTCTGTCACCAGAAACACCACACCAGCCAACCCGCTCCCCCGGATCAGAACCACTGCCCCTTGACATATAGGAAGCTGTTTCACTGATCGTCTCTCAGGGAGCCGAAGAACGCCCTCTCTCGCCAGCAGGGGGCGCGCCGGAGCTGCAGCACTGGGCCAGAGGGTGCTGGCTTAGCCGCACTGTACCACAGCTCCTCGAAATAGCACGGCCTGACATTCCCTCCCGGCAAAGGGAAAACGAGCTTTTCCTCAGGGATTAGGAGGGACACGCTGCAAAACTGTGCTTACGTTGCAGTCCATGTAGGAAAACAGTCATCGTGTGCACTACTGCCTGGGCACACATATTATATATATAGATCTTTCTATCCGTTCAGGGACACGAGCTATTACACTGCAGAAACAGGAGCACTCAACCAGGATGCTGGGCCATGATCTCTTCTATATATACTGTATGATGTGTAGAGTACAAGCACAAAGAGGGATGTTTTACATTCATACTGTGTTACTCTTGCTAAAAGATTTTAAAAATAGTTTCTGCTCCCCTGCAGTGCTCGTGCAGAAAAAACAGGGTCACATTCTGTGTTGCCCTCAATCTAACCAGAAAGAGAACAGTAGTGAAGTATTTTTAGCCTTGGTTTCTGGGATGGCGCGGGTGTGTTCTGGGCTTGGCCACTTGTGCACTGAGATGCCATGAGCTCTCTGGAAGCACACAGTGTGTGTGAGTGGCTGAGGGCTCCCACTCTCCCTGACCGGCCTCTGTTAACATTCCACTGCCACTAGTGGGTCAACTGCTTCCACACTGAAATTACTGAGGACCAGATCACAGCTTGTCAACACACAGCACAGAGCTCACAGACACACTGACACACTGCACTGAGAATACTGACACACTGCGCAGAACTTATTAAACCTTCACACAGCTCACACACTGCACAGAACTCACAGACACTGCACAGAGCACACTGACACACTGCACAGAGCACACTGACACTGCACAGAGCTCACAGAGCTCACTGACACAGCACAGAGTACACTGACACACTGCACAGAGCAGACTGACACTGCACAGAGCTCACAGAACTCACAAACACTGCACAGAGCACACCGACACACTGCACAGAGCACACTGACACACTGCACAGAGCACACCGACAATGCACAGAGCAGACTGACACTGCACAGAGCTCACAGAACTCACTGACACAGCACAGAGCACACTGACACACTGCACAGAGCACACTGACACACTGCACAGAGCTCACAGAGCTCACTGACACAGCACAGAGCTCACAGAGCACACTGATACTGCACTGAGCACACAGAGCCCACTGATACCGCGCAGAGCATATTCAAACTGCACAGAGCTCAGTGACTCTCCAACATCATCAGTCCTCACCGTCTCTCCCACACTCTCTCCCCACAATCTAAGAGCAGTGGGGGGGTTATGATCAGCAGCACGTTCTCACACTCCTTTTAAAACTCTGATCCTTCCTCACTGAAAGGGGGAGCAGGTTGCTCCCAGAGCTGTGGGGTGAAGCTCCTATTCCCTGAGCCAGTTTTGATTTAGCCATCACCCCTGGAGACATTACTCACTAGAATATTAACACATTCTTTTAATTAAAATTCTGGCCTGTTTCCCAGGCTGGTATCTGGGCTGCTAAGGAGCCAGATTAGTTTCTGTTCTGCATTTTTGGTTCTTCCTCTCCTATTGCTCGTGGGACAAAGGGCAGCGGCTCTCCAAGGTTATTTTTCAGGACTGAGCAGTTTTTCAGTCTGGAGTTACGGAGGAGCCACAGTTTCTCTTGGTGCTGTGGAGCCACGAACATGGAAGTTAATCTGAGTTCTGCTTGAGACCCAACTCCGTCCTATCCCTCTCTCCTTGCCTGTATCTGTGTCCCTGTCCCTCTTTCTCCATCTCTATTTCCACCCCTCTCTCCATCCTTCTCCTCCCTGCACCCCTTTTCCCTCTGCTTCTCGGGAGGAGACGGCAGGCAGCTCTGTGATTGAGGCCCAGGACACCTGTGACCTCCAGGTGACCCCAGCACTGACCCCCCCACACACACACAAGCACGCACGCACTAGTGCAACAAGCTCCCTAGAAACGGTGTGTTTATGGCGGAGATCTGACAGCATCGTCATGGAAAAACCCTGGATCGTTTATTGTTCGCGTGAGAGATGTTTACATTCCCTAACGGAGGGGAGCCATGGACTGGATCTTCACACTGCAGGAGCCCTGCAGCCCCCTGATGTACGAGGTATAAAGGCTGCGTCTAATGTATTGCAGGACAGGCCAGCCGCTACTGCAGCCTGCAGCCTCAGGTCCTACTGTACAGCCGCAGGCGTCCCGGTCTTGTTCTGAGCTCGGTTCTGGTCTCGTTGCCCTTGCCGGTGAGAGAGTGAGAGTTCTGATCAGCCCAGCGGCCCCTCCTCTCGGCGCTCGGACTCTGGGGCTTGACGAGACCCAGCTGTGAGCTCGCAGTACTCTTCTAGAAACAACACAGCTCACCGGCTCGCCCCCCGCCCCCCCGACCGCTGGCTGAACCCACAGAGGAAAAGAGGTGCTGGCGAGGCAGCAGCAGCAACTACAGCTGAAATCCAACCTGCAGAGCAGCTTCAGGAACTGCTGCAGCTGCAATCTTCACTGGAC